TTTGGATTCAGCGTCCTTTTTTGGTAAGGTTGTAACGGAGACGCTAAACTAAAAAATTTCAACGGACGATATCTCCGAGAAGAAATAAGATATCTGAAAAATTCAAAATGAATTTTGAAGGCGAAGAGTAGTACTTTCAGATGCCGTAACGAGTTTTGTGGAGAAAAATTAATTCCCGGTCTAATATAACCCCAAATATAGCGAAAAACTGTGTTTTTTGCACTTTAAGGTCAGGATATCTCGAAAACCTGATGTGATGGAGCAATTCCGATGTCGGATTCGGATTCAGCGGACCGAAAACCTTTGGGAAAGTATAGTCTGGTCTCAGGGTCTGGAGTTTCGTAAAATTTTGTCGGCCTGTGTTATTGTTACTGTATATTGCGCAACAAGTAATTACACCAATTGTAACCATTAGTAACCATTTGCGTGGATACGTGTACTTTTCGCGGCGGTGGAAAAATATACGAGTCGAATTTAAGACAGAAAGACGGAAGTGCGCACCGGCGCCAAGAATAACGACCTCAAAGCCCTTAACGTCGCAGTATATAACTTATGCAAATGCTTTCTCCGCGGCGAAGGACAACGAAAAGTGGAAAGAAGAAGCCGACCCCGGCTGCCGTTCGGGAAGCGCTCACAATTCATCCGTATCTAGATATACACTACGACGGAGACGGAGGACGGTCAAAGAGCACCTAAAGTTCGCTTAGACGTAGTTTGTACTTTGCGCACAGTGTGCACGTTGCTCTCGTGATGTTTGCAAGACTCCGCTCATTGCCTCGGAATTGCGCTGATCTTTTTGCGCTAAACGCGGCGTGAAAATGAAGTCTGCGCCTTGCACCGAGAATTTCGACTCGTTAGAAAAGGAATGTTCTAACATTCTGCATGTAGCAAAATGGGATTAAAGTGCCGGCGACGTTGCGCAAAATGACAGACTCAAAGTACTACACGAGTGGTTTTTCGGGGAGAGGCCTTGCTCTGATATCGCTCGCATTCTTGTGTTTCAGGTTTCGAGCAAGCCGAGGTGTTGTCCTCGCAAAATAACGGGAGCAGCCTGGACTGTCTCAGTATGATCGTGCAAAGCATCAATGGGCCGTTGCAGCCGTCGTCTGAAAGCCATTATTCGTCTCACCACTAAAGTTGTACGGTACCGAGGCTCTTGATCCTTTCGGATCGGTCTCTTTCCTTGGCTCTCCCGGCGACGATGTGACATTCGATACTTCAATGCGCGTACACGGCCGTAGACCTGACTGTCTCTTCTCAGAATTATCATATCATATTACGCAGGGTGTTCCAAAGGTCGTCAACGATTCGCGGATGAGCGAGCGAAGATGAATGATACCTGTTCTGTATATTGGCTCGTCAATAGTAATAGCTAATCGTACAATTAAAAAAGAATAAGAAAAGCCGCGCGCGCGCGTGTGTGTGTGCGTTTTTAAGCTTGGGGAAACTCCGGGGAAGAAGTATGTGATTTCTGAAACACTGTATAAATTTTCATGCCGAACGGACATTCGATTTTTATCGAAACGAGAATTACGGGCACTGCGAGCGATTAATAACTTCAGGAGGCTCGATAAAAGCACGCACAAGCATGGTATAGATTTCCAATTGCTACCGGCACATCTATGCGAGATATCGAAAGCGCTGTGGAATAGTAAAATATCTCATCTATACTAGAGGAAAATACCTTGAAGGATAATCTTAGCCTCCCCGCGCGAGCGTAACTCGAGACATTGTAGCTGGTACGCGAAGTGTACGTGGCAGAGACGAAAATTTATAGCAGAGTGTAAAAATTTATTACGAGCCAATTATTCGTTGCAACTTTTTTACGATTATTTTAATTTTACATGTTTATGAAGCGAACGATCCTATTAACGCCCATTCAGCGATATTATAACGTATGCGTAAAGTGCAAAACGACGGGAGTGCCAGAAATATTCTTTCACATTTCTTTCACTTTCCTTCACTTGTCCCTTTGCTTCTTCCGCGGCAAGCAAATGAAAGTTTCTGTAGGTATCTTTTGCCGAAAATAGCAGCAACAGTCACATCGCTAACAGAAAGCTTGTACGTAATCACGCACGGAGAGAATTTTCTGTTAAAATTTAGTCCCGAAAGTCATGTAATCGCGGGACAACGCGGCGTTTCGAAGAATTTTATGAAAGTTTTGCGAAATTTTCATTACTAGTAAAATGTATGGTAACATTTGAAGTATTTCGAGAAACTCTCACAAAGTTCTTCGCCACGTTGTCCCACGATTGCATGATTTCTTTTTCAGGGTAAATTCCAAGAGACAATTCTCTCCGCGCGGGATTATTTTTCCGCACTCGCATCGTTTTGCATTTCAGGTCTAAAATTATGAGTCTAGTTCCTGATGTGACGAAGAGCCTTTCTGCCTTATGAAAGTTTTACGCGAGAGACGTTTTGTCTCACGATATGCTCAAACAATTTCCTCGGGAATCGCCGAATTTTTCATGTGCCTGCAAGCGAGCGTATCGATCACGTAGCACGTAAGAAAGCTTCGTCGATACCGCGACGGTGTAAATATGTGAAATTACGAGGCAATAAAGAGAAACGATAGAAAAGCGTGACTTCCCTCCTGTTCATTTTCACGCTAGCACCAGATTTTCGGTGCGCCCCTTCGTATTCTCTTTAACGAGCTTTCGTCAGATAGCGGCCATTTATCAGACAGCGGATAATTAATCAGCCGGCTAACCATCACCGCGCTATTAAGGGCCGACATATTTTAACGCTACGCCTTAGTCGTTACGTGACCGTCATATGTGATTAATGACGTATCGGCGTTTGCGAACGTTTAACACGTGTTTTTCGAAGACATCAGAGCCACGATCTTGCGCGGATCATTTTAAAAAGATATTGTCGAGAGGAGGAAAACGAACGTCCCACTTGAATGCACGGGCGAATATATCGTCGAAATCGTCTAAAATGTGTCGGAAAGGCGCCAAGCAGCTTGTTGGAACGACTACGCCTACATTTTCACGATACGGACGCCACTTTGGACTCCGCCATCCGAGGAAAACGAAATAAAATGTCAGCTGTCGTGCCATCGCTTCCACTCCAAGTGTCACTTCCTCCGCATTCTTACCTAAACGGAAATCTCGAGTGCCTCGGGTGTCGTAAAAACTCTCTTTCTAGCGCACCGCGAAAAGCTGCGTCGCTTGATATTTACATTGAGCACCGTGAACCATCGGTATATGCATAAATTTTCAGTCGACATAAATAGATCTCCAATCCTCTGTAAATCACGATAAATTGCCATGGTTATTCGACGCTTCTGATGTTGTAGACATCGAACGTGACATTATAACATTTAAGAAAGAAACTTTTCACGACAATCGTTGTACCTCGCTGCATCGTCTTCGATGACAAAAGTGACCGATTACTCGTTTAATTAATCTGGCAAAGTCTCTCCTATCTTAGGTACGGGACAACAATTGTATTGAAGTTACCCTAGTATAGCACAATATATTGGCTCAATATTGGGAGATAATGTAAATCTATAGTATTCAATATTGCTCCAATATTGTAAGATGGACGCCTTCTCCTATTTAGCCAATATTGGTTTAATATTGTATGAATATTAGACCAATATTCTCATTACAATGTTCAGTATTGACCAATATACTTTCAATATAAATCTAATATTATATAATTATTATCGGGCAATATTTACGTTAGACAATGTTGACCAATGCGATTCTAGTATAACCAACATTGAACCAATGCTTAGCCAATGGCACTGTGCTGCTAGGGTAATCTTACGTCGCGTCAAAAAGGGAATGCCTCTGCCTCCGTCTCACGCTACAAGCATTCGCGTTACTTTCGTTCGTGCGATCCTCGAGCACGACGAGTCCTTTGACCGGGTCACCGAGGAATGTCGTGTCACCGAGGACAGCTGAAATTGCCGGCGATTTATGAGATAGAGCGCGGAGAGAGGCGCCCGCTCGCCGTGAAAGCCGTGACACGGGAAATCGGAGCGGAGGGATCCGGTGAGAGGGACCGGGACATACTCCACGACCGCCAGGGCTAATAGTAAATCCAAAAGCTCGTCAGTGCCGTCGCAGTGGCTCCGCCGGAATATCGGCACGTTTTCAAAACAGGGCACGTCCCACGAGGCACGTCGAATGCATCTGCGCCCATTCGTCACGCCGCCGCTATTAACGGCAAATTTAGAATTGGAGATTCTTACGGGGATTCCTCGCTCTCCTCTTCGTTCTTTCCCCGCTTCTACCATATTCCGTAAAGCACCCTCGTATCTCGCCGACGTATTGCCGCGACGGATCGCCGGCCGATGCCGAGGTCGCTCGGCGCTTCTCAAGGATCCTACAACGCTGCGTGTCCCTTGAAAGGGCGCCCCAGCAGTTCACACGAAGCCGCGCGCGCTTCATTATTCCGGGCTTTCGCAGCCGCGCCAGGAGACGCGCACAAAAGAAGCGCAGGGATAATTACAATGCAAATGAAAGGGTGTTTTTAACGCTGTAACTTCTGTACCTACCTTCCTCTCTCGCTGAGACTGGCGGCTTTTCAATTAACCGAGGCACATATCAATATCAGACTTCTCGGCAGAGATTACGTTGCCTCGACAGCTGTGATCGATGTATCGAAGATACAGCTGTAACTCTACGTTCTTTCGCTGTTTAAGAAACGGAGACCACTGAAGAAAGCGCATGGTTATAATAATCCAAGCTTGGTTAATGTTACCTGGATCTATGGTGACGTCGTTTCAACTACACGCATAGGTTATTATGACGATATTAATTGATTAAAATTTCAGAAGATTGCTTGACCATGTCTGGCACATTTTTATGCTTAAACTCGTAACGTTTCGACCATGGTTTGTGATCCTTCTCAAGTGATCTAACAAAGAAATTGCAAGCAGTTTGTTAAAAAGTTGCTACATAAGTGAGTTACAAAATAAATAAGTTACATAAGTCATACTCGGAAGTATAAATTTCCTCCAGTCATAAATTGGTTAAAGTTTAAACATTCGCGGGATTTGGTTGAACTAAATGTAAAATTTACTCTTTCAAAATGTTTGTAATTCTTACCAAACGTTTCGCTATTATTACCAAGTCCAATGACCAAAGTTTTCGAAAAATATATTACTACATGAGTTTCACAGGTTCACCTACTCCCTGAAAGTCAATCAGTGAATAGTCGCTGATTTACAGTTACAAGTATACTACGGCGACTTTCATTGGTGCACTTATAACTACAAATCAATGGCTATTCACTGTTTTCAGTGATAATCCACTGATTGACTTTTAAAGAGTGTATTAATTCTCTGCAAGTGCAGGTACAGGTACAGGGATGAGCAGCTCGTCGCTGAAATGGGTTAACAGAAGGTGCGGCGCATTGGTCATTCGCGTAAATGAAAAAGTGTTGAGCAGATTCGAAATTATCTTCGTTCAGATCGGTCATTTGTCACGCAGCGGACATCGCCAGGCTCGGCCGGTTGTCCCGTGGACTGTTTGTTCGCACGGCTGTTCTTTAACACGCATACACTTTCCGGTGCAGATCCGCGTCGAATTTCAAAGCGCACGTCCCCAGTCTTCCCTCTGGCCAAGTAATCACGCGCGGAAGCTTTCACCGTGCGTTTAATACGCCGGAAAGCGTTTTCCAGATGCTCACCCTCGTAAAGCATCGAGACAGAGTTTGTCTCGAGTAACGTGTCTCCCGCCCGCGATGTATGCCCGGTTTCCGTAATGTACGATAGCGAACGTTGTAATTACTTATTTAATCCATTGAATGGGACCCGCTGCCGACGGGAAATCTGGCTTAAGGGAATTCCGCCGTGCATTTACAATTTCGGTTCTTCCCCGGGGAATTTATATCTGTTGCATCTCTACCGGGTAGACATGAATCTCCTGGAGCAATTATACGGAAACTGACGATGAATTGAAACATTCCTTCCAATCCGATCTTGAAAACCTAGCAATTTTGCAATTGAAATAAAAGTGTATTGTGCATTTAATTACCCACATTGCCAATTGGTACTGTCCTGGGAGTTTTAAAAATTAATTCTTGCATCGAGAAGAATTTCCATTGGATAAACCGATTAAGTGGTGTTTCCGACGAAAAATTAACCATCGATTTTTCTGATTTCCGATCAAATTATCGATTTATTCGATGAGATTTATCCAGTGAAATTGCCAGTTGCCGACGAAATTTTACCGAAAAACCGACTATATTTTTCATCGGACATACAATTTAATCGAATATATCCGTTAGTTAATACGTAATTGAATTATCCGATTAAGCCAAGATATTTTTCTCAGTGTGCCTTCTTTCTGGTAATCGGACGCGGCTGTTGGCACCATTTATACAGGTATTTAGCAATTTGTTAAATCAGACAGTAAGCAGCAAATTAAGAATTTGCGATCCACAGCTCCAAATCGTAAATATCATTCTAGCATTGTTTTCATGGTATAATTTAACTTACTGAAGTTCCACGATACCACGACAGCGCCTGCAGCGTTCTAATACTATACGAAACATGCAGATAGTTGAGCTAACGTAGATATATTGCAACACAATGACACGTGAAGCTCTCAACTGCGGCTCAACATCTGTTGACCCCCTGCAGCGCGCGACCCTTTAGACTCCTCGAGAACTTCGATATCTCGAGGGTCCCTTCGTAACAAGTGCACACTCCACCACCACCCACGTGAAGATGAACCGATGTATCGGAAGCCTTGGCGCAAGAAGAATAGAGGGACGTCAGTTTATGGAAGATTGCCGTGCAATATGTAAACGCTTACATAATAGGCCTTTCAAGTTTTCCTCACATAGTAAAAATAAGGGACATAAATATTTTCTTAACTTCTTTACTGGTCTTAGCGCGCACAAGTTCGTAAATTCATACACTCTTCACGTAAATCTTAAGTATATAAGTATATAAGATCTTTAGAAAGAAAGATACTCGGGACAAAATGCTGTTGAATTAAAAAATAATGAAGTTGCTTGAATTAAACGTTAACGCCACGGGCTGCCACGAACACAAATAATTCACTCAATTCCGGTCGCTGTGAATTGTAATTTTGAGTATTGAACTAAATATCCAAATATTATTAAGACAACCCAGCGAGAAATGACTCGTCGGTTGACCGAAACGATGCCGCATCGACGTCGACTTTCACAGTGTCGATGTCGATTTCTCTGATGTTTATATTCATTAATACTGATGTGGTTTCAACGATTTTATTTCAATCACCCTGATCTTGTTGATGCATCATCTTTGTCCGTGTACAAGATGGAAATAACTTAAAGTTTCTAAAAATGCTGTTTCATTTACAAATGACGTGACAAACGACTTTTCCGAATTTGACGAAATACACATATTTTTTACTGAACTAGCTTTGTAAAAACTACATAGGTTACCTTAAGAAGGTTTCAAAACTTCTTTCTTTGTTCTTCCTTCTTTCCTAAAGATTCTTACTTATTTACAGGAATTAATAATATAGATGCTAAGGCTTCTCGGATATAAGCGTGTCAATAACAAGTCGGTTGACCGAAACGATGCCGCATCGACGTCGAATTTCACAGTGTCGATGTCGATTTCTCTGATGTTTATATTCATTAATACTGATATGGTTTCAACGATTTTATTTCAATCACACTGATCTTGTTGATGCATCATCTTTGTCCGTGTACAAGATGGAAATAACTTAAAGTTTCTAAAAATGCTGTTTCATTTACAAATGACGTGACAAACGACTTTTCCGAATTTGACGAAATACACATATTTTTCACTGAACTAGCTTTGTAAAAACTACATAGGTTACCTTAAGAAGGTTTCAAAACTTCTTTCTTTGTTCTTCCTTCTTTCCTAAAGATTCTTACTTATTTACAGGAATTAATAATGTAGACGCTAAGGCTTCTCGGATATAAGCGTGTCAATAACAAGTCGGTTGACCGAAACGATGTCGCATCGACGTCGAATTTCACAGTGTCGATGTCGATTTCTCTGATGTTTCAACGATTTTATTTCAATCACCCTGATCTTGTTGGTGCATCATCTTTGTCCGTGTACAAGATGGAAATAACTTAAAGTTTCTAAAAATGCTGTTTCATTTACAAATGACGTGACAAACGACTTTTCCGAATTTGACGAAATACACATATTTTTCACTGAACTAGCTTTATAAAAACTACATAGGTTACCTTAAGAAGGTTTCAAAACTTCTTTCTTTGTTCTTCCTTCTTTCCTAAAGATTCTTACTTATAATTTACAGGAATTAATAATGTAGATGCTAAGGCTTCTCGGATATAAGCGTGTCAATAACAAAATGTCCAAGAGAAGTAAATAATTCGCGGTAGTCAATAATTTTGGAAAAGAAGGTATTTCGCGTAGCCTTCTTTAGCATTTAATCAAGAGAGAAGATAAATATAAAATATGTGAAAGCATATGCTATATTTTGTGGGTTGCGTAACGCGGTTGTGTAAGCTTCGGGACGTCCAAATGAATCAAATATAAATGTTTATGCGATTTACAAGATGATATTTTTAGATCCTAGCGAATAGCTGTAATTAGGGAGAAAGCAACAAAACGTATACGGGAGTTACCCAACATTAGCCAAAAATATCCATGTCGCGAGTGTAAGAATAGTTTGGGACGACATAAATATTTTCGGAGTTACTGACCCGTCAAAATTCTCCAGAACTTCGTCGAGAGGCCGAGGCCTTGTAAGTATCGGTATCTCGCGCAATCTCCCGAGACTCTCCGGCTCTTACTTTACATAACATATACGTTATTTCAACATCTCTTAATATATTCCTTGATTCGATAATGCACAACCTGTTTCCTTATTTGTCCTTATCCTTTTTGAATGATTATTTTCGCATGAAAGATTATATTGCTCTTTTTCATTACATTTATTATGCACGAAATACTTTTATTATACAGAGTAGGCCATTTTAATGTATCCACTGAAATATCTCAAAATCTATAAGTTTGAGACAAAAATGTTTCAGAGAAAAGTTGTTTGGTTTCGAGGGGGACGTAAGATGGTGTCATTAATTTAACTTTGAATAGTTGCTCGAAGGTCACGTGAAGATCACGTTCAATTTTGTAAATGGAACTCCCTATTGTTTGTTATACTGCCCTATTCTACTAATTAACGTGAAATAATTTTATAATACAAGAAGAGTGTATACACAACGTTTGAATTAATGTAACGTCAAATCTTCCACGTACGAACTGTCCGCTGTGATGTCGATTGTAACGGTGTCTGAAGAATTTCGAAGATATTAATTTGCAGGAAATTTTAGGCTCTTTCAATAATAGCTACAAGATAGCAGATCATTTTATTTTCTACATTAAAATATTAATTTATAAATTTTATTGGAAGCAAATCTTTAATTCGCAGGAAACTTCAGGCTCTTTTAATAATAATTTAATAATAGCTATAAGATAACTTAGACATTTACTTAGATAACTGAAACATTTTTGCCTTAAACTTATAGATTTCGAGATATTTCAGTGGATACATTAAAATGGCCTACCCTGTATATGTTCATATATGTATACGCACGCGTTTTGGCAGCAAAGCAAGGTATTCTTATAAAACACATTTAAAACTTGTGAATAAAGAATAACGTACAGAACAATTATTGCAGAATATTAATAATCATATACATGTACCCAGATAGCAATGCAGGATACAAACTCGCAAAAATTACAACAGATATATATTTATTTTATAATTACATATATAGATTACTAAAATATTCCTTGCATTTGGAAAATGTGCTGGACTGCAAATACAAAATCAATGCTCAATTAAGGATTTGTTTACAATAAAGTTTATAAATTAATATTTTAATATAGAAAATAAAATTGTCTAAGTTATCTTATAGCTATATTATTAAATTATTATTAAAAGAGCCTAAAGTTTCCTGCGAATTAAAGATTTGCTTCCAATAAAATTTATAAATTAATATTTTAATGTAGAAAATAAAATGATCTGCTATCTTGTAGCTATTATTGAAAGAGCCTAAAATTTCTTGCAAATTATCTTCGAAATTCTTCAGACACCGTTACAATCGACATCATAGCGAACAGTTCGTACGTGGAAGATTTGACGTTACATTGTTTCAAATGTTGTGTATACACTTTTCTTATATTACTTTTTCTACATCATACCGCGCGACAAAGCAAGCTTACGAATCGGCGGAATGCTCGAGAACATTGTCAGACCATACGAATGGGGGTAAGTTATATCGTCGTGTGATGAATCGACACTCATTCTTCGGTGTACCGTTCGCGAGTGAGGACGTCGTTATCATGTCTGATCTTACACTCACAGCAGCAAGACTGCAGAACTTTTACAATTAAATTTTTCCAATAAGACATACAAGTGGAAATTAGTGCTTGAACGTACTCACTTGTGTAAAATTTACAAGTTTCTCGGGGACGAAGATTTAAATTTAAAAATTATCCTTTTAATAATCAGACATGAAAATTAGTAATCAGGGATAAAAATGGAAGAAACAGTGGCACTGATCAAGTCGTGCGTAATTTCAAAGAAAGGCGGCGTATCAGTTGAAGACTTAGACGGTGAGTATTATCGTTCTTTGTATTTAATGAATATCTCTATTTATAAATGATATAAAGAAGAGAATGTTCGTTCTTAAGAGATGTTAGTACATTGAATAAAATCTATTAGATATATTTCATTAATTTTTTTTTAGATATTACTAACTCAGTTTCTACAGCTTTAAAATTCTTAAACTCACGAACAAATGCCTCGGGCTAACACAATCGTAAATTACTTGTATTTGTCTAAATAAAACTTCTGAATTACTCGCAATTAAATCATCTTACAAGCTTGCTTCCCTGAAATTAATTTGACGTAAGAGTCATCGAATTAAAAATTATATTAAAATATTGTAAAATTACTACAATGAGAAAGCGCTTTCGTTATTCAAATTTTTCGATGAAATATCATTCAGAGAACTTAATACTGTAGAAATACACGTTTAAAAATAAAAGGGTGTTGCTTTTGCAGATGAGTTTCAAACTCTCGTCGGAGAATCCATTCCGTATCGTAGATTGGGATTTTCGAGTATACGTTCATTTTTGCGAATTATAGACGGTTTGGAAACAATTCGGGATGCTTTCGGCACCGAGATGCTAAAGATCAATGATTCTAAGATATCTCATATCGACAAACTTATACAAAGGCAAAAAGTGGATTATTCCAAGACAAGAGTACATTGATCGCAATTTATATTTTACGAATTAAGTCCACACTATAATTATATAAATCGAGAAAGTAATAACGCTTTATTTCAGAACAAATACTATAAACAATTTATGCGAAATGATGGCAATCTTAGATACAATAACGACGAGCGTAGAGAAAAGAACAGATTATATTTTAATGCTAATCGCGCCAATAGACGAAACGAAAACTTCGCTTGGCGTCGCAATCCAAATTTACTTGGGACCAGTAAGACATTCACAATCTATTTTATAAATCTGTAAAGAGAGATAACAGTATTTTTACGTTTCACCAAGTTTTATTTAATTTAGCTTTCGCTCGTGCTCTTAGAAACATTCCTATATTACACTGTTTCGAGATTTTATCCGATTTATTGTCGGTTTCTCTTATTTATGGCAATTTTAATATTTTTTATTCTTATTTCTCTGTTCAACTCGATATGTCACAAGTAACAATTTTAATTCAGTTGTTACGCAATTTGGAATAATATCAACGATCGTGTTTTGTAAAGAAGATTTTTTTTTTAAATAAATTTATATACTTTAGATGGCGTTTGTAACAATTACTTCTTACATGAAGAAGCAGAAAATCATCATCCGATAGTGATAGAAACAAATGAAATGAAAAAATATGTGAGTGAATAGTAAAATTTCAATTCGTCGTGCACCAAGTAAAACTTTCTGAAAAGTATTATTTAATACTCTACGTTAACATTATTTGTAACAGGACCACATATATGAACCTGTCGCAAACGGCCAACAATTGCTTGGCGACGATTTCTTCCTGCAGCTAGCAATACGGAATCTTCATCTCCCTATTTGGAGATTCAAGGGTACGACGAAGCTTCCAGCGAGTTTATATTGAAATCCGTACACACGACGTTTTTCTTGCAATTCCTTTGCCTTTCGGGAAAAAGGACCCCGTTTCTTATTTCACGAAAATTATTATTACCTGATCGAACTAGTTGATAGAAAAGCTAAAATATGATAACTTTCAAGATAGAAAATTAATATTTTACGTCCAAGTGAAAACTGTATATTTCTTTTTCATTATTACCTTGCAGATAGCTTAGCTTTGCACTGTGGATTATGTATTTCCGGACAGACTATTAGCGACTGTACTCAGATTTTGAGGAATGTTAGTGCCATCTCCAATCGTGTTGTAATTCTGCTTGGCTCGGTTGACGTTTATAACGTAAGTTGATTTGACCTTGTCCTATCCTCGGCACGTACAGGTCGCGCACAACTGAACGTATCAAGAAGTAAATAAAATAAAATATTGATATACCTCTCACTTCTCGAATCTCAAATCTCGAACAGAAATTACAGTTTACAGAATACCTTTGAATAAACTTCAGTTGGTTATTTATTTGTACTTGTAAAAGTAATCGAACTTTCACTATATATTCGGTTCTTTTCAGAACGCCACTTGCGACGAGATGATAGACGATATGACGGAACTCTTGGAAGTCCTCCGGTCTAAATTTCATCTCTCAAACACGGCCATCACTATCTGTACACTTCCACCTTTGGCCAATCTCAGCATGTACGCTTATAAGAAACAAACCATGGCCCTGCTTTCCTTCAACAATTGGATAAGATCCCTGGCGGACGATCCGTCTAAAAGAGAGTCCTCTTTTGTCAACTATCCTGTAATAGATTTGTTTGAAATGTTCTGCTGTGACGAGACATACACCACAAACTACGACTGGTTTCAAACGTAGGTGTACATTAACTAATCCAGTTTCAAATATTTAATTCAGATTTACTTTCCCTTATGCTTTTGCTTTATCAGCTTAACTCACTTTTGTCAGTTCACCTTTTTCGTCGTTATTTAAAATTGATAATTTGCTGAATTGTCAAAATTGTTAAAAGTTATTGAATTATAATCGTTTAGAAATGGTTTCTTGCAACAATTCTTTTAATCTTACTTAATTTCTAGTAAACGTCGCAGAATTTTCATTTAAGAATTGATTACTATTAGAAGTTTAATGTTAAAATAATGTTATCGAACGACAACTTCCAAGTATATATAATCCCATATACATCTCGCATGTGTAGTAATTAATTTTGGATCTCTCACAATGCGATTACTGGTGGTTTTCAGCCAAGCTCGTAGAGTGTCTGGCACTAAACGTTCCTACGTGCTATGGAATGCCAATGGACGGAAGCGAGCTATGAACCTCATCTGCGAAGACGAAAACACGGATCACTCCGGGAGTCCCAGGTCATTGCCGATGCAATGAGTTAGCTGGGAACTTCTATTATATGATAAACATCGTGTAAGAAAAGAAGCAGAACGGTACACCAGAAAGGCCTTATTCGCCGTTTTCACGGCGAAGAACGCTTTATCGAGGAACTTCCAAGGTGTACCCTCCCGCTTCCTTCGTAAATGTGTGTGTTATGTGTACGTACCGCAAACAAGTCCAGATCACGTATATATTTGAGTCTTATTCTGTCTACGAAGGAAAAAAAAATTGTGTTCTCCATCCGGATAAATCGCTTCGTTGCGTCTAATCGAACGGCCGCTTTGCGCGAGAGATTAAACGAGAGATTAACTCGACGAGCAATAACCGGATATATGGTCCCAGCATAACGTCTCGGTATGTTTATGTACTCAAACGGTCGACAGTTACCTGTAGACCTTTGGCATATAACCAGATCCTATATCCACGGACGAAATCACTTTCGTTTTCAAGCCATTGGCTTTGGATTTTGCTTACCCAATTTCAAAACTGAATTGGAGACATTTACATATATACTTCCAGCTAAAAGGCATTGTAATTTTACCTCACACCGGGGTGCTTATTATCGGGACTCTGTATAGTGCCGTCTTCTACCAAAGAGCGACTCAAGTACAACCATTGCCATAGATTCTTTTTCGTCGTTATTTAAAATGGATAATTTGCTGAATCGTCAAAATTGTTAAAAGTTGGATGATAATTAGAAGCAAGGCGAGGTAATACATATGTCCTTGTATACATACGTGGTATACAAGTGTAGTTTAAATTGTATATTTGCTTTCAAATGGACGCCAAGTTAACCGTCAAATTTAATTTCGTTTGTTTACGTTTCAAGGAAATGTTGACGCATACTTAAAATTTACACCAAGTGTTAAGATGTCTCCTGTTCGCGATTTGTGCCGTACCTGCTTCGTGGCATCGGGAAAGCTTTAAACGACCGTTCCGCAACGAGTGTCCGTGTCCGTTGAATTAAGTATGGTGTATTTTTATAATTAAATGCGGGTAATTTGAAAATGACACGCGTACTTTCTCGGAGGAATGTTAACTCGTCCTAGCGAACGAAATTCAACAGCAAACTTTAATCGCAACCCTTGCCACGTGTTTAAGGTTAACTTTTTCTACGAATATTACTAGTTAATTACTAATCTTACAACTTTCATAAGTTAAAGTTTAAATAACCATCACACAATATCGATGCAAGAAATTCCTAAATTTCTTCCATTGTTTCTAAACGTTAAATGTATGGATTTCAAAATGTTGCGATTATTATAGATTTAACAGGAGGTCAGTCATTTTCAATGTTAATAAATTTACGGTCATATTTCAAGAAACATAATCAAACGAAATTTAACGAATTGCAAATTATTCGATAAAATAATTTATTTTTTTGCAAAGAAATTAATCATGAGAAGGAATATTTATTAGAGGTGCAGGTCACGTATTTCTTTGTGTTTGTGCATGTAAATTATTTAGTTGTTCGAAACATTTTTCTTTTATGTTCTGTATTTTATGATACACTAGCGTTTTATGTATTGTATTTCATATAGCAAGCAAGTTTACAAAATCTAATATTAAATTAAAGAAATTGAATGGTAAATTAATTTCATATATTAACAAATGAAATTAAATTGTTTAAATGTGATTTTGTTAATAATTCGTCGAGTTGCGACAAGTTTTGTTAAGTAGGCAAGATAATTGAGTTTTTAAATCAATTCTTCGATTAACCCAGCGAGAAATGACTCGTCGATCGAGGTCAAAACGATGTCGAATCGACGTCAATTTGCCGGCGTCGAGATCGATTCGAAATCTTTTCGACGTCGATCGACGGATCGTTTCTCGCTGGGAAGCTTAAGAAGCGTAGTCTTCACGATTTAAAAAGTAGTAGAATTTTAATTCAAAGTTTACGGATTATGAAACAGGAATATAGCGTTTTCAAGTTGATCTTGGATAACTTTAGGAATGAATGCGAGAGGTTTTTTTAGCGAAAAGAAAGCGTACATTTGTTAATACATTGAGACGTGCAATTAAACAAATTGTGATAGCAATTGCTGAAAGAATGCAAGTAATATAAATGCGATATATACGTCAATTCTATTTATAATATTGATAATGTAACTAATTCTTAAGTAGACACGTGTCAAAATGTAATAGGGCGCATGTATTGTGATCAATAAATCGCGAATACATATAATTCATTTCCTCTTCTTCTTCTACAAAGTCTTATTCTTTAAATAATTTATAATCTGTACTAGAGATTTTACAGAATGGAATTTCCGCCTACAACTATCGAACTGTTATCTGAGGAAATAGTTGAACGTAGGAAACTAGATTCCCTTCTAGTCAGAAGTGAAAGGTGTCATCTTGTCTTAAATAAAAATTTCTTTTAGTGTCAACAAATATTTGTCTAGGCTCAATAAGCTGCTGTAGAATCGAGAAATTCGGTTAAGAAATGTACACGGCCCTCTTTCAAAACTCGCGTGTCCCGTTTGGCTGTGGAATTGCGCTCCTATTCGGCGTCTCTGTTTGAAAATAGATGCGAGAGTTAGGGATCTACATGCGCGGAAGAGGGTAAAGTTTAGATCTTGATTTAGATTTCGGTTAGCCATCGTAGGGGGTTGTCGTGCGTGAGTGCAGTAGAAACGGAGAGAGTAACAAATTTGAAACAACATCCGTGCAATATAGCAAGCAAGGACGCCATAATAAAATAAGAGCGCTCCAGTAAGTGAAAATACAAAAAAAGAGACTGAATTAGAAAATCAATCGTGGATGAAGCATCTGGAGGAGAGACAGGCGATAAAAAGGGGGAATTATTGAGGTTAGGCACTACGGGTAGTAGATCGATCTCCATGGAGCAATTGTGTAAATGTAAACACACCCCGTCTGACTATGATAAAAATTGGTTGGAGAAATATATGTAAATATTAATATAACAAATACGTGTCGTTTGTCACCTTCGTGTCAGCGCAAGCAGAAAAATTCTTTATAATTTCTTGGGCGCAACCATCTTTCAGTAAAACGGTACCAATTAAGAAGTTTTGTCTGTGCAAGTTTGGATTCTTTGACTTTGCTTCGAACAAATGAATCCCGTCGATTTTAATAAAAGAAAGTGGGCTTTACTCTCGTTACTCGTTTACAAATTATTAAAAAATATATATGTATATGTGTACAGATGAATATGAGCGCAATTTCCAACGGCACTTGCCCAAGGAGGAATTTGAGAAGTATGTTTGCTGAACGGAGCGATTTTGTTAGCGAGGAAACTGTGTTCTGTAAACAGGACAATTTAAAGCAGTCCCTGCGTATACTGAATGAGGTAATGAGATAGCCGTAGCCAGTAATTATTAAAATCCGCATAAGCGCACGCGGATATTGACACATGCCTGTGCCTGTAGGAATTTGAGTCGTTCGGTATCTCGCCGGTGGCGGTGGACAATGATCTGCAAAGCGCAAAATCGTTGAGAGAGCTATCGGTGCAACTGGTAAATGCCGCTTGGAAGTTGATACATAAACATAGATACTTAATGCGATTACACGAACAATTGATTGATTTAAATCAGAGAACTGTTAATGACAATGTTAATCTCAAGGTGAGTTTGCTTTTACTTAAACCATGAATGAGTATTGAGATATTTTGTATTATTACATGCTGCACAGCAAAATGATTGGTAAGTAGTATGTGAAAATTGCACATGAAAACATTGCTGGTTGTATTATACTAATTATATTTTATTGTGCTGGCAGAATCACGTAAAGCGCCTGAAGGAAGATCTAGAAAAGAGGGAACATGCGATATGCAAGGCGGAGGAGAGAGAAAGGAGACTTAATGTCAAATGTGACGATGCAGCACGCGAACTGAAGCAGGAAAGAGAGGAGGTAATTTCGATTTATGTAGAATATGTTTGTACAGAGTGATTTGAATATTGTACAAAAATTACAGTCAAAGGTTCAATTCACAGATACGAAAGCTAAGGAAACAAGCTCAGTTTAAAGAGATTCAACATGAGCACGAGGTAAGAAGAATCACGCAGAATAAGCAGAAGCTCCAAGAGCAGTTACAAAAGTCTGCTGGTTAGTAAAGATCACGTTTTTAGGCTAATTATTCTTATTAAAAAAACAACTATTTGTGGCCTTTGCTTTATATTTTACATAATATACAATCGTACAGTATGCAGGATACCCAGATAGCAATGCTGTGGCATGTCTAAAAGACAACTTAATGCCGTCTTAAAGATGCCCTTTAAATATGCACATGCTATCTGGGTACTTTTTGAATTTTAGTTAACAGAGTACAGTAGCTTCTCATTATTCTCAAATGAAATTCTTCTTGCGCGAAAATAAATACAGCGTTCAACTTGGCCGCATTACAAATTGATTATTAGTCATTAACAAGCACTTTGTACACAGAATGTTTGACGCTTAGAGCAATTATGTGGTCGTAAATATATGCATGATCAAATTTGAAAGGTGATTCTTCGTCCGCACAGGTTCTTTTACATCGCGGGACAAATTGTTACAAAAGATGCACGAAAAGGAAGTAACTACGTACAAGCAAACCATTTGTCGTTTGGAGGAAAACAATAGGCATATGTTGGAAGAAATTACTAGTCTGAAGGAAGCACTGGAGTTACATCAAACCGGAATTGATTTGCATATCGAAGCTTCTGGAGTATGGACCGATGCAGATATTTAAACATAATTGTTATTTGTAATTTATTTGTATCTTGAAGAAGGCGCATACATTTGCAAGGAATATGGACATTATTAGTAACGCAGCAGTGTGGAATTTTGTAGTGAATATTATCTTTTGTAAACAGAGAGTTTTATATATTTTAAATATCTAAGTATCGTTATTTTATGTAGATTAAAGGGTAGAAAATTGTAGTTTAGTAAAAGTTTGTTTAAGATGCTTGAATTAAATAAAAGTGCTTTGTGATTCCCTAATATATATATATATATATGCATATATACATTTCGCGTTTGATATAGATTTATTCTCTTTAGCAAGAAGAAGTCGGGAGAGTGAACGTGTCCGCGTATCAAATGAAACTCGGCCGCTGGCGCTTCTGTGTGTACAAAGTGTATACATAAGTACAACTATTTCATAAAGCGCTGAATATTTGGAAACTATAATAGCTCAAGTTGCTTAACGAGCGCGATACATTTTGTTCTTTCATTTTTGCTCTCTCGCAGAAAACTGTTCCGAGGTGCTGCGAAACGGACAGAAGACTGTGGACATTGGAAGTGTTATCCTTTGGAAGTATTTGTGGACATGGCTATGTAAATGTGTACATTTTGTACACATAGAGTCATTAGACTTCTACATGAAATGTGAACACGTCGACTCTCAGGTTCCTCTTTAATTAGCTTTTTCTATTCTTTCTGTACGTGCAATTGTAATTGAATACATAATTATACCTTTTTCAAATAAGAATGCCAGAATGTAATGAACAGTTAAAGAAAGAACAGATAAACTGTAACTTCGTTACAAGTTACTGTAACGCGTTACTGTCCAACCCTGCGTAATATGTTATTCATCATTTTATCATGTGATTCGTCACCTTTCAAGTCAAGGTGCGGTTGACTTTCCACAAGTCGGTCTCATCTAATCAGACTCGGATAATAAGACCGTTTTCATTAGTGTCGCACGAAGGCGTTACATGTAATGTATAATTATGGATTCCGTTAACAATAAAATGTATATTAGGATTGTTTGACACGACGCCTGCCCGCTGCTCTTGGAACATTTGCAGTTGCCCGCTTTGCAGACCGTGTTGTTCCGAATCATGAAGAATTCCGACCCACGTTGATCGCCTCCCGGATAGGCTATCTCGTTCGGCAATCTGTTGTCGGTGCTGTCGATGCGCTCCGAGCTGAGCCTCAGGGTGCTCTTGCCGTCCGCGCAAATGCCGTTTATCACGATGGAGGACGTGGTGACCAGGTTCATGCTCACGTTCGAGAAGACGCTGCTCCTCACGACGGCAACGTCGCCCTGTATGGACATCAGTCCCGGTTTCTGCATCTCAAATTTCGAGCCGGTGATCTCGATGTTCAGGAAGTCGGCGAAGTTGACAGTTTTCTTGACGTTACGCAGCTCGCTATTCACTATGCGCAACGTCGTGCCCTTCTCGGAGACGTTCAGCCAGTCCACCCGCTCGATCGTAACGTTTATCATGATGAAGTTCGACACGTTGAGGTAGGAGAACTCTTCCTCGAGATTCTCGATGAGGGCGTCCTCGATCGCGAGCGTGTCGATAGCTTTCAGATTCGTGAACGTATAGCTCGTAATCCTTGGTATTCGGCCAATGTTCGAAAGCCTCAGCAGTTTCATGCGGCTCGACGCGAAGAAGACGTCAAAGTTCAGGCTGCCGCTGATATTCTGAACTATCACCTCCTCCAGATCGTCCGCCTCCGGAAAACTGGAGTAAAGGAGACTCGCTGAAACGCATCCTGTGACGGACACGCTAGTGACGTTCTTGTAATTGTAATCCTCTGGTAGGAAAAATTCCTGAAAAAAATTCAGAATAGTAGCAATCTTGTAATTGTAATCCTCTTTCAAGATCGTCCCGCGCAAAAAAAAAAAAAACACTTGTCGGAACGAAACGAAAGTGCAAAGATTATCACGGTATGGATGTATCAATCAGCATACCTCGTTTCCGATGCAACTGCACGTAATCCTCCTTTCATTGTGCACTTGGCATTGTTCGTTGATATTATTCGCAGTCGCGAACAATGCTGCGGTGAGTATTACAGGGAGGAGTAGGGTCGCTCCCATATTCACTGTACTATATCTGTACATAAAATCTCACCGATTGTATTCATGCTGCAATTAGAAAGGGAAATATTTCATTCCATATTGATAAGTGCACACAATCTGACTGACTAAATGGGGACTTTTACTTTTACACAGTTTCTAGTTAAACGTAGGTATATATTTAGAACAAATTATAATTTTTATGAATGCAGATTGGAAACTAATATGTTAATCAATCGTGTATTGCATTTTAAATGTAATCCCGTCGAGTTCGAGGCATGTTTTGGATAAAACAATATAGATCGAGCTTTAATTATCTCCAAACGTTGCGGCATTTTATGAGAATCCCAGCGGTTGTCTATCGGGTTTGAATAACGTCAAGTCTTCCACCACATTTTGTTTTTTCAATTTACATTAAATTAATTGCGAGTATGAAAGTATTTTTGTGCGAGTTTATTGTGAGTGTAAGAAAAATTGTTATTGTGAACGAGCGAACGGAGTGAAAGAGAGGCGAAAGTAGAGGACATTGAATTTGGAGGGCAGCACAAAGATAACCCTAGTGCATTGACCAAACCTTGGTTAAACAGTGGTCCAATATTTGGTTGTATTGAGTCAATGTTTAGCCACTGCACTGTGCTACTAGGGGAAGAAATGGATTCCAAGAAAGTCAATGAATGTTATTATCAAAGTCAAGCCAAATATTGCTTTTAGATAAGCGCACTTTTCCTCCAGATTGACTTCCCTTCAAGCGGAAGTCAAATACACTAATCGTAAATTCGCGGAAAACTCCGGGAGACGAATTCTTTGGCGCCAGCAAATACATACGAGTCACCATACAAGTTAATTTCAATCAATTCGACTCCGAAACAAAAAAAAATAAGAAAAACGCTCTCACCATACTTTCGAATTTTGGTAGCTCACCGCACGGTAAAGCCAGACTCCCTAAATTCCTTTTCTCGTCCTTTCCTTCAAAAATTCCCTCCTCCCCTCGACGTTCTCTCCTCGAGGTACGTGGTATTAGTTAGACTTCGAGTTTCCGGTAATTGTTTCGGCGACGTTTCCTGTCGGTGGATCCTCTGTCGTTTCAGGAAGAACTCGCCGTAACAGCGAGCACCGCTTCCTCGATGTTGAACGTATCGTGACGATCGCAGGCAATGACTATTTCGGGTGTTGCGTTCGGCCGACGGATGAATCCACGGTCGAGTGCGCGATTAAGATAGACAGTTCTTTCGCGCCGCTCTTTTATGGTGATTGACATACGTGAAACGTGACGCACTATTCGGTAAATATATTCCGGTAGCCGTGGAGTCCAGGGTTTGGCAGGCTCGCTAATAGTACAGTATAATCGGCGGCCTGGCACTATCAGCAGTGTTGCACGAAGAGAATGCACCGGAAAAACGCGGTCAGCCCGGCAGAGAATATCTAAGAACCACTATACAAGTTGCGATATATTAGCTGCTCTGATAACGTTATTCTACGGATGTTACTGCAACAGTATCCTGATGGCTAAAAATTGTCACAATTGTTAGCTCCGATGCCAATGATGTATTGTCAGAATATTTTGAACTTGGGAATCTTTTACTTCAGCGATGGGCGACAAAATATTGAATCTGTTCTTTACAAACCCATACAGAAAGTTAAAATAATGTTGCTGAAACGTTGCAACGTTGAATGTTGAAGTAGAAATATGTTTTTTACGTTGATCCAGGTTAATGTTTGTATATTAATTCTTTATATTGCTGCAACGTTAGAACAATCCTGAACAAATTATTATTTTTTGACACTCAAATAGATACCTAAAAAATGTATATATATGTATAATATTTTTGCAACGGTCAGAAATTTTCTAAGCTAAGATTGGATTATTATTTTTTTTAGCGAAATAATTCAATTTCAGCACTTCCAACAGTTGTAAAAAATATTCTGCTAAACGTGACCAATGTTAACTCAATATAATTTAACTATGTTTTCTGAATGTTGAATTGTAACGTTTACAGGACATTACAATTCAGCGGACATTAGACGTTTTTGCAATATCTTTTCAACGTTGAATCTACATTTCGTAACATCGATGCAATATTGCAATGTTTTAATGGAACGTTTCTGAGATGTTGATTCAACATTTGTTTGCTGTATGGGAAATGAACTGCACGTTACAATACCGGCTAAAATTATATCACCTTTACTTTCGAGGTCCCGATAACAGGAAAAATCACAAATATTTAGACGCTTTTATTAAAAAGACAAGTCATAACAGTCACTTTCAGATTAATCTTCCCAAATTAAAGAATCTATGAACTAGATGGAATAATTTACATTACACGATAAACGATGATTCATTGATCGGTTGTTGTTTGCCATGCATTATTTTGATTAAATCTTTTTGTCATAATGAGAATTATCCGTGAGAAGTTTTCGGTACGATAACGTTCAATTAATGCGCTATAGACTAAAGAAGAAAATAACATTCCTGAAATATTAGTAATTATCGCTTCTGCATTTTTGATACGACTATTATTAATGTAAAACTAAGAGCACATTATGTCTGTGTATCGTTTGAAATGCTTGTACTTGTACAGCTTAAAACACGCATTCTTTATTTAGATTTCAACGTCACGCGTCAAAGGAATAGTAAATACACCGTCAAGTAAAACATCTTTTATAAACAGGTTATTTTATAGAAAAGTATGTAATCGTACACACATAATGTAATTATATGGTTGTTATAGAATTGTAAAAAGTTTCTAGTTAATGTACTCGCTGGAACTGCTATCATAATGCAACGACAAATTAAATTACAGATTAGTTGGTATTAATTTGCAATACCTGCGATTCCCCGTATTTAAGTCATTATGCATGCGCGAGGCAAATATAAGGAAAAAGAAATCGTGTGATGGATCAAGACGAGAGGTTGTGCAATCGTGAACTTTGTAAATTTAATAATTTATCGCTTTGAAATGCCGAGAATAATAATTGTCGTAATCTAAACTAGGCGAGCTGCTGAACGGCGGCGAATTGATCATTGGAAACAATGGCGTTGAAAGCGCGGGACCGAATTATTATTCCTGTTTAAGGGACAACGAAACTTACGATATAATTTTTTTTACAAAAAGTTAGTGCGCTAAAACGCGAGTTTCTTGTCAGGACAAAGTGCAGCACGTGTCCATTTTTAACGGCAAGTGGAATACTTCTTGTGGGAATAGACAATTGTATCCGGCCCGATTCGCTTCCATTTTATTATCGCGTCAGGATCTTCGAATTCTATTGTCCATCGGAACGTTCGACTCACCACTGACGCTATATATCGATGAACAAGGACTCAATGTGCATTGGAATACGTTGCACGAAGCGGTTCGGATGCGGTAAAATTGAACAGGGAATTACATCGCTCGCGGCGCGGAAAAGACGGGAATACCACAGGCGGCGCACACATCAGTTGTCGTGTGTATAAAAATATATTTACGATTTACATATATGCTAATATAGCACACTATTGTCGACGCACGCCCGACAATACGCACGCGTGCACGCTCCCGCAACGCGCGGCGATACTCCCGCACCGCCCGAGCGGAATTCATCGCGCGCACCGCGGTGACTTTACGTCGGCTTTTCAATTCATGGAACAAGCAGGAAGTACACGTTCATACACGCGGCAAGAGGAAGACTGGCGCCACGATTTGTTCCCTCTTATCCCCGTAACAATATTTACGTCCGTTCCACGTAACGATTTCGTATAGCTGTCTGAGCTTAGCACCTCGCTCTTTCCAGCCCGCGTTTCCCAGTAAAAGTGGCAAATAATGCGATACGAAGGGGAATATTAAAGGAAACTTTTCAACGGGAGGTTTCCCATTGTTACCAGAGTGTGACAAATGAGTCGCTGAGGAAACTCGCTTCGTGGAACAAGCCTGTTTGAAGAAAAATTCACGCTGTATGTACATATATAGGCTAAAATTAATACATACGTACTTAAACGTTAGCCTACGAGATAGTATCAGTAAACGATATGTACACGTAAATCAAAGAAAGACACGGTAAATATTAGAATAAGACAATTTCGCTTGGCGAACGTAATTTAGTGAAACTTTGAGCAACTGACAGCACCTTCTGTACACCCGAAACTGTAAATCAAGAGAAGTTTGGTATTACTTATCGAGAAGAAAGAAAGAGAAGAGAATATTAAGAATTAGGTAAGAGGTATTAGAAGTACCCGCTTTGGTTAGCCATTTCGTTACTGTGGTTACGCAATTATACAATTTAAGGTGGTAAAAATATTTGTCTTAATTATATAAAGTTAAGTCAATGGCAGAGCTTGGTAGCTTTCTTTAAAAGACGATACAAATACAGATATCTGTATCTTTCTCCGGAAAAGTAATGACCCTAGTAGCACAATATGTTGGCGCAGTATTGGGAAATAATGTAAATTCAGTATTGCCAATATTGGCCCAATATTGTAAGATGGACGCCTTCTCCTATTTAGCAATATTGGTTTAATATTGTATCCATATTAGACCAATATTCTTATTACATGGTTAAATATTGGCCAATGCACTTCCAATATAAATCTAATATTATACAATTATTATCGTGCAATATTTACGTTTAGTCCACGGCCCATATTGGCTTTACGTTGGACAATGTCGACCAATGCATTTCTAACATTGTGCTACTAACAATAAGGGAGTGCATCTTATATCTATATCTAAAATCGAAGGAATTCAAGAAATGTTACGTGTATTCGTATCTCTTGAATAATTGAATAAATTGAAGATTTATGTTATATTTGTATCTTTAATGAAAAAAAGTTAAGATACCAAGCTCTGGTCAAAGGCACGTATGACACCATGATATTTTAAGGCACACTCTTATGTTTATCATTGAACGTGCCTGTTCGCTTTAAGCATCTCTTTTCGTATTAAAATTATATTATACGTATCACTAGATTGCGATTAGAATAGTAAGTGTCATTCTAAAAGTAAAGATAAGGAAATATCGTGTAACTTTATACATATACGTAGACGTAACATGCATATGTGTTTCACATTTCTTCCGTTTGAAGAACGTTGATAGCTACTTCTCGAAAAGAAGATAGTGTCCACGTCTGGTGTTAAACGGACAATGCGAATACGAAGATGTTGTAGCGTAGTAAATTATGCTTTTCCTTATCGACACGCAACTCGGGACTACAATTTCCTCGATAATTTCACGCGATTAATAATGTTGCGCGTATCGTTGGTACGGATCGCGTCACAGTCTTGAGGGTTTGCTCGTGATAAGCGAATCCTGTCGCAGTAGTTCACGAAACGAAGCGGGAAGCGCCAAGGAGTCCAAGTGCGCGCTCCTAAATACTTCCGCAGAGATCAGTCTTATGTGAAGCCCATCATCGAGCCCATTTCCGTGTCTTTTATCACGCTTTCTTGTAGAATATCCTCTTGATGGCCTCTTTCCTTTCCGGCGATACGAGCGCCAGGGGCGTCTTCCCCTGCCGGTTTTGTATGTTCGTCTGGCCTCCGGCTTGTATCAGGAGCCGGCAGACCTCCTTCTGCTTCTCCAAGTTTACGGTATTCGAGACTGCTGCGGCCATGTGCAGCGGCGTGTTGAACATGTAGTTGGTCTCGTTTACGACATTCGGAGCGGCTTTGCACAGCAACACCTGCGAGTAAAGTTTGAGCGTAATTTGCGTGGAAATCGACGATGTCGCACGGTATATCTTAAAATTTCACGTTCTACGTGTTCGACGAATCTCCAGCCCAGCGAGAAATGACTCGTCGATCGACGTCAACGCGATGTCGAATCCTACATTCGACATCGTCAAATTGGCGTCGAATTTGACAATGTCGATGTCGACTCGACATCGTTTCGACCAATCATTTCTCACTGGGCTGTGTATTATAATATGTAATTGTTAAGAATATAGATTTATCCGCAATTTATCTTTAAAGAAATTATAGTGTGTTTTTTTTCAAAATATTTTCTTACTTCGTGATATTCTTCTTCTTTTTGTAGGAAAAAGCTAAATACTAAAGAAATAGGTTCCGTTTAATTTGAGGATACAAGGTGCTTGTAACACGGTATTTTATATCTCAGAAAAACTATGTTAATTGAGAGAAAGACAGAGATAACTCTCTCAGTTTGAATAATATTATTGCGATTAAGCGCTCTTTTGAGAATGTAAAATAGCAGTACGGCGATATCACGGTCCTTTTCAAAGAAAATACAATTTTATCGTGGTGTTACGTAATGTAAAAGGCGGTAGGGAATAAACGCGTCCAATGCACGAAATTGATTTTTTATTAGCGGCTAACATAACACTTGTTTTGTCATCCGCAATCAACTTTGATAACACCGTCGGCCGCGTGTCAAGGATTATCGCGCGGAATTCTGGGTGAATAAGCGTGAATGGATCAATTACTTCTTGCTTCAACTACTTGCTCTCCATAGCCATCTCTGATTGGCGAATCTTTATACAAGTCTTATCCACCAGTCAGACATGGAAAAAAAAACGAAGAGTGAGCGATCATTTTATTTGAATACAACATGATAATCAAATTATCATGTAACGTATTTCAGAAGACGCGCATTTATATCTGACCACAAGATCCTTGGCAAATCTAGAGTAAAAGTTTTTCTTTAACGAAACAGTAGAGCAAGATCGTCTTTGCAACTTTCGAGTCATTAATTTGACATTTTAGTAACATTCGAAGTTACAAATGGCCTCAATTAGAACCCCCTTAAAAATAGTTGAGAGACAAATCTGCAATGTTTACGCGCGTCAGCAGTAATTTCAGAAAAATCTTTTGTTGGACAATGCATAACGTCACTGTATCAAAACAGTTTGCTGTTATTCACGGTTTAACTTTTCTTATTTACCAGAGAATCACAAGATTTCTCGCGTATCGACATCGGTGGCGTTGCGGAACGTAAAAATGTCGATTTTTATCGGCAGTACGGGAAGCTGATTGTTACACGGATAAATCGGCGATTTCACGGGTAACTGACGCGCGCGCGCGAAGCCGGGAAATTCCTCAGGTGGATTACCTTCAGGAGTGCGGGATCGCAACTCAATGAGGCTGCCATATGTAAAGCGGTGTCGCCAGACTTGCTCTCTTTGACCTTGGTATTTGCGCCGTTCTCCAAGAGAAGACGCGCCGTGGCCAAGGACTTGACGCCCCGTCCGGTGGGATCGTGCGATTCGACTGCAACGTGAAGAGCGGTTTTCCCTGAAACGCACACGCGTTCTTATTCTCCTGTCTCAAATCGGCTATCCGTGCAACTCTTTAGTCTCGTTACTATTTAACTAACCGTCACAATTGCACCTCGATAAGTCGAACACGGGATTTCCCTGCACCGTCCTCAATGCCAGCAGCTCCGCCAAGATCTCTCCGTGGGAATCGCCGCGTGCCGCGACCGAGTGTATCAGCGTGTCGCCCTGAAACGATGCGGGACGATAGTACCAGAAAATTCGCCATCGCGTGCAAAATTGCCTTCGACGTTTATTCAACCGCGCTTAATTACGCTTGTTCTCCCTTCAGTGTAATCATCGCGTGTCGCGCGATTATTCAGTAATTATATTCAGTAATTATACTTCAATGCGCAATTAGTCGCTCGGACATGTATTTATTAACTAATTAACCGCGCGCGATTATTTCGGCGAGACAGGAGAGAATCCTTTCTACGTAATCGAAATTATTTCATAAATCACTGAGAAAAATTTCCATCGGATACCCGAGTCGAAATTCGGGTACTATTTTGACACTTTTAAGAACAATTTACACCCACTTAGCTGATCTATACAGCTACATAGACCAGCAATAGCCTACTCTGATGACGTTATATGTTTTTTTACTTTAATTCTAAAAATTTACTTCAGCTCGTACTTGAAAGGACCTGCTTTACTGCTAAATTGGCAAAAGTAGAAGTTTTCAACACTACTCTCTAAAGTTTTTGGAATGAAAATAGAACAATGGAGTGAAATATTCTCTCTATTGGAGCAAATATTTACTCTATTAGAGCGAATATTTCACTCCATGGTTCTATTTTCACTCGAAAACTTTAGAGAGTATCAGTTTTAAAGTAGAAGTAAATTTTGTATTTGCAGTTCGACCTCTTTTACTACCTCAGGTCCCACTATACATATAATAGAATTAAAGGGCCAAACTTTCGACCCGGGTAACCCAATTCAATAGTGTTTCCGATGGTTAATTTTTCCGATTACGCTTTTCGACTAAATTGTGGCGACGTCCGACGAAATTTGGTTGAAAAACCGATCATATCTTTCATCGGATATACAATTCAACTGGATACATCCGTTTGTTATTATGTAAGTGGATTACATTTAATCGGACATCTTTCTCAGTGTAACATATGCGCCTCATTAAAGCGCAAACGCGCGGCCGACCGCGCATCAGAGCGGATCAACGCGGCACAAAAACGGTCATGGGAATCACGAAAAAAAAAGACTCACGCGCATGCGATATAATCTTTGGTTGATATCGATCCCCTTCTGCAGCATTGCGGCGGCCAGGTATCCGGTGACGTACGGCATTTCCGGGCAATTCATGGCAGCCAAGTACAAAGCGTCCTCGTTGCGGTTGTTCACCATCGACAGAGCGCCCGGCAGGTTGCCCAATCTCTCAACCAGTGGCACCAAGTAAGCTTTCTTCCTCGTTAACTCCTCCGGATTACCCACCAGACACATCAGCGCTCTATTACACGCAAATGTCACGTTTTATCACACAATCCCCAGTCAGAAATGACCGGTCGATCGACGTCAATATGACAGCGATGAGAAATGAACGAAGTAGAGAAAACGTCGATCGACGAGTCATTTCTGACTGGGTCAGGAAGACAACGTCTGCCTTTTCTTGCCTCTTCTTCGTTCATTTTTCAAAAGTCAGCCATCAATTAGCTCTTATCCAACTGTAACACTGCTGCGCCGGGAGAGGATTTGACAGTATCAATTATGTATTTGACAAGGTTGGGACAAGCTATCAACTTGTTAGTTTTTGAACATCGGTGACGGTAGCGAGTTACTTTTGTAACTTTCCCAACCCTGGTATTTAACTAATCGCGATACCCCTGATGGGGAAAAATTTTGCTGAAAACGTAATGAAATTTGTTGAAATTTGGTTGAAAATCTCTTGCAATTGACCCAGTTTCATTATCATTTCAGCAATTTTTCATTAAAAAATTTATTTTCAGTGAAATTCTGCAAATTTCATAATGTACAACATTTCAAAAATTTTTTTCACTAATTCTTAGCAATATTAATTAACTTTCATCTAATTTCACAGTATTTCATTGAATTTCATAACGAAACTTATGATTTATTTTGAAATGGTTTCAACAAGTTTCCAATAACTCTTTCATTTCACTTTTCATCAATTTCATTACATTTTCAGCAAAATTTTTCAATCAGGGACGGCGTACACCTTTTTCTTTTATGCGCCGCACTCGTACATTTGCATATAAAGTGGAACGCGTTACTTACGTGTCACCATCCTCGTCCGTGGCCGCCAGCTCCTCCACGGACTTCTTCAGCAGATTACTCATGGCTCTTTCCACTTCCTTAGGATGCAATCCTTCCTTTAGCCTCTCGCTCGCTCTTACAGACGGTAAGTTTAGCGAAGGCCACGGTACAATGCCTCGATTTGAGTTCCTGCCGAGGCAAATATCGGGTCGTTAACCACATCGCTTATCGCGTATTCGCGCGAAAGCTGTGACGATTATTTCAACACGAGTATAGCGTAGAAACAGCGGTATTCGAAACTTCGACTGTATTAAAAAAAAAAGAAAGGTTTATTTGCGCAAATAAAAATCATATTGAGAACTCAAACTTCTTAAAGCAATACACTTGCTATTCGCTGTTATACGCATAATATGTATATGTAAATTTAGATCGTTACTGTTGATAGTTAAACTCGCATTTCCCGATCGCCCGAAGATATCGGAAGCACAAATATGTTATTGAAACTGTTTACTTACCGCAATGCTTCTCGTTATAATCGTTCGTTTCTTTGCGATATCTGCCATTAATTTTGATTACATAACTTCGTGGAAATAAAGAACACGTGTGTTTCTTAACGCTCGCGAGCAGCATTGGCGCAGTGACAATATGCGACTAAAACGCATCTAGAAGCGTGGAGCGCAGCTGAAACTCTGATTGGGGTCTCCAAGGAAAGAGAGGTATTATTAAAAAAAAAAAAGAATTCCACGAAGCATCTCATTGATTCGCGTTTAAGAATCAATCAGTTTTCCCCAACACCTTGAGTCACCGTCATCTCTCTCGCTCGTTCACTTCAGCCTAACATCCCTCGTGTTGCGCACACGCGGTATCATCAAGCTTACCTCTGCGGACGGCTGGATACGAATGAGGAGACCATCGTTGGTATCTGATAGTCGCTAGGTACAAACATCGGCGGCTGGTCGTATCTCTTCTCTCCACCGGCGGCATGGAACATCGCGTACTTCTCCTGCGACGCGCGCAAATTCTGCTCGGACGCCTTCGCGGGCGTCTCGCCGGTCAGCCCGATCTCGTGCAGGGTGTTCGCGTCGTTGCGCTGCGGCATAACGTTGACCCGACCGCCGTTCTTCGGCCCGTAATACCTCGGCTCCATGTCCGCCGCGTTCACCGCACGATTCACGTACGCGCATCCGCCGGTGCTCCCCTTGCTCGCGTAGACCGACACGAGGCTGCCGTCGATGGGCAGACCGTCGACCTGGATGGTGTTCGCGTTCGGTATGTCCAGGCAGGCCTCCAGCTTCTCGCTTCGCATGGCTCTCGCGGGGCACTCGCGCGACGCCGGATTCAGATCACTCCCCAACGTTCGCACGGACACGCATCGGTCGTTGTAGACCGACGAGAAGCAGGGTGCGTTTGAGGCAACCTGCGGCTCCTTCAGCGCCTTGCTCTGCTTGTCCTCCTCTATGACCTGCTCCACGAGCTGGAGCAACGCGCAGTCGATCGTGTCGCTGCTATTGACGATCGTCCCCGACGAATCGTAGATGCCCTTCCAACTGGATAGGGATTCGCCAAGCTGGTCCTCGGTCTGATAATTCAGGGGCGCCTGGTAATTCGACGGGCTGGACACGTCGCTGTCGGACTGGTTGGACGAGGACGAGGAGGACAGCGCTTGCACCCGATACGTCGATGCGACCTGCGGAAGAAAGGCGCCCGGTTAATTGAGCTGCCTGCCGTGAATTCGTTTCGTATTTATACTAGGCCGCAGCAGAGCGAGCGGCTACCTATGCGAGCTGTCGGATAGCTGTTTGAATATTTTGTAAGTCTCGTCAAACCGCGATAAAAGGTGTTTTATGGATGCGACGTATCGCTCGGACTCAGTTTTAGGTATTTGAACCTCTTATTACGGATTGTGCGTGTGCGTGTGTGTGTTCATTAATTTTTATAACACTGTTTATATGTGATAATCAGTGACCAGATAAGTATGCATGTTCGTACGTGTCCGAAAAATAAATTCTAACACATTGGAGATAATAATGTCACGGAATAACTTGAGCAAGTTGACCTGGCAGACAAAAAAGTCATGCAAATCACAAAAGAGCAGTCTATTCAACGTATAAAAAGTATCGTCTGTAAAAGTGTGTAATCACGGCTTACTTAGGCCTCGAGATAAATCGAACGAGCTGATATCGTGACCTAGCGTGGTAAAAATAAAAAAAAAAACAAACCGCGCTGCATTGTAAATTGCGGCTGGATTTAATTTGCCATCGAGCCTCTCCATCTCTCTACAGTTCTTAGAGTGAAAATACCGCCGCGCAGTGAAAGATTCACCCCGGTTGGTGTGAATGTTTCACTCCGTGGCAGTATTTTCATTTCAAAAATTTGAGAGGGATCCTTATACAACATTACATATGATATTACGTATTTCTTACGGAGCGTGTTAAACGCCGCAGTCGCTCGCGCCAAGGCTCGAGCGGCTCGCGCTTCACTTTTCTTCAGGCATGCGGGATTCACCGGAGCCGCTACTTATGCATTCCTCATACATTTATGCAGATTATCGCGGGCTTACCTGCGGCGAACCGAGCGGGCTGCCAATAACGTTGACATGCATCTGCGGCGACTCCAAGTTCGCAGCAGAGCCCGGTGACTGGGCGCGACTCGACGCCCGACTGTTCGACCTCGAGACGACGTAGTTGTGGCTGCTCGCCGGGGAGTCGGACCAGGTCTTCGCGCCCGGCGAGGGAATCGAGTGACTGCCGGCGTCCGAGAAGACCGAGACCGCGGCTTGAAAACCGCCACGCGACAGGATGTCCATCAAGGACTCCTCTCCCGGATCGTCGACGACTATGGAGGGAAGCGCCGCGGTCTGAAACGAGATTAAATCCTTCTTCACAGAGCGGGGGGACTCGTGGAGACGTTTTTTTTTTCTTTTGCGTCGTACTGTTACCTCGACGCCGATAGTCTCGGTCATCGACACGCGTGCGACCTTTCCCCTATCAACCGAGTAATTACGTAATTGCTTACGATACATATAGAGGAAGGATATTTATAATTTTCAAATGACTTCCGTCATTCCTAACAAGCAGGTGTAATCGGACGATTTCTTTATCAAAAGGCAAATCGAGAAGAATTGAAATAACAATATGCCGTAACTATTCCACCGACTATTCGAAATATCCAGATCCGGAACGCATTTAAATAGCGTTCAATATGCAATGACTTTTTCTCGTCCTACGTTATCGACTTATAAAATATTCTATTAATTAATTAATTAATTTTAATACTTTTTAAATATTTTCATCCAAAAATAGCATTTCCTCCCTTCCTCACGCCTCGTTGAAGCTTCTGTGCGGACACGTCTGGAAGAATGCGCTTCAATTCGAATCGCCGGGACTTCGGACAGGGTTGGGGAAGTTACTTTATAAAAGTATCTAGTTACAGTTACAGTTTCGTCGCTAAAAACGTGACTAGTTACAGTTACAAGTTACCAATTCTGAAAAATAACGCGTTACAGTTACAGTTACTTAAAAAGTAGCGAATCGTTACTTTGCAGTTACTTTCTTGCAATGAAAATAAATATATGAAATCTGCATTTGAATAGTAAAGCGTGGATAAGGGCGTTTATGCGTTAGTGCGAGGCCTGATGCAATCTGTGGGGGTTTAAAATATATTGTATATAAAGTAACTATTAATGTAACTCTTAAATGTTATCGAAAGCATGTAACTGAGTTAAGTTACAGTTGCAGATGGAGGCAAAGTAACGAAGTTAAGTTAGAGTTACCAAAAAAAAAAGAGTAACTGCAACCGCAACTCCGTTACGAGTTACTTTTCAACCCTGATTTTTAACGCGTGATATAACGCCCGGCTTTACGAGGACCGTGTGTAATCTCGTAATCCCATCGGAACAATGAAAAATAATCGGAGCGAAACTTACGTCGTTGCTAGGGACACCGTTACAGAGGACATCGTTGTTATTTTCTCCGGTCCAGCTGGGTTCCATCGCCAGACCCATCAGTCCGATCGATGCCTGATTACGGCTCGAGTCCGACAACTGGTCCAGGCAGGGATTCAGCTTCTCGCTATAATCCTTGTTCCTCAGGATCTGCTCGGCCGTCTTGTCGTAGTCCACCGCGTAGGCGGCGTCCGCGCCATCGTTTGCGCGCGACAGCCAGCTCACCATGGAGTACGGGTGTCCCCGAAGGGGTTGGAAGTCGGGCTTGATCGGTCCCCGTTGGATCAAATCGGAATCGTCAGAGTCTTCGTGCTCCTGTCGTCCCGCCTGCTCGGTCTCCGAATCGTCGTCCAAGAAATCCCCATCGTACAAAGAGTGACATCGCTTCTTGTCACGTGTGTCGTCGCGTATGTTAAGTGGCAGACGGCCCTCATTGTCATCAGCCGTGACGTTATCCTCGTTGTTGTTTATGTCCTCGCTATCAGTATGACGGCCCGTTTGCGACTTGCAACTGCCCCGGTACTCTATGTTATCTACGTTCTCGCTGCTGATACGGCGCGTCCTGCTGACGTTCTCGTTAGTATCTTCGCCGTCTTCATTGATATTTTCGTTGTTGCGCGCGAGCCGTAGGTTCTCGATCTTCTCGATTATGTCTTCGTATTTCGTCAGCTTCTCGCGGAAGTCCTCGTCGAGGTCAAAGCTCTTGTCCGCGTCCGCGCTCGAGCGGCAGGACGTGTCCGGGCTAATAGACATGTCCTCGGACCCGGTAGATCCGTAATCCTCTTCCAAAGAACTCACGGACGAACAATCCGGAATCGAGACGCGTTGCAACGTCCACTTCTCGATTCGGATCGGCGTAATTCGGCCGGAATTGGCCATGGTGTGCCGCCTGGGTTTCTCCCGAGTGAAGTAAATGACTGTCCAAAAAGAATTAATGAAAGCCGTATCCACGTGTTTCTTCGCGCATCAATTAACGTCCTCTTGAACTCAGGGACCTCGTTCCAATATGAATCTGCGAGATAATAGAAGTAAATTTTATATAAGATAATTGAGAAATAAATTTGACAATTTTTCTTATTGAATATTTTTGAACGTAAAAATCATGTAAGACTCCTATAAAAATATTACTTTCATATAAAAATGCACATTTTTGTTTATTCTTGACTATTTTTTCTTTCATTGATCCTTGAGAAGGTACATGTATAATTATTGCATATTCATAAAGTTTAATTTAACAATGTATTATACTCCATTACTTAAAGCTTAGAGTAATTATCATTGTCCACTTATGTAAGTACCGTAATTAATCTAAGCGTGATTAATCCAAGTTTCATCTGGAAAATATTCATAACTTGATTAGAATAGACAGCTTGCTGATTAATAAGAATTAATATAGTAGACAGTTTCTTTACGCGAAAAATGCACATTACTCAGATATATTACAGCAAACGTTGCTTAAAATTTTTTTGCTAATAAATATTTTTATAATTAATCTATTTCTCTCACAATCGCATCGTTATTTGATGAAGCAGTTTACTTTCACGCTGTACAATACAGCACAGAAGAGCTTTTTTCTGTATATTAATTTGCGGCGCGTTAACTGTTTTAATGATTGCCGGAAAGTGTTTACCGGTTAAGTGCGCTATCATCAGCTAAATATGATTGCTTTCTGCTTTTCATTGTTATACATATACATACATTCCATTGTTACACGCGTTGATATCTAGGAGTAAGATGAATTTTGTTGCTGACAGTTTTATCGCTCGTTTAGTTGCTGTACATAAACGTAAGCATATACGTGTTAACGTATATGTAACACTGCATTATTGTTCGACAGAAAATACACGCGTATGCTTGCATAAACTTTCCCCAGAATCCGAGATCGAGAAGTCTTCTTACTTCAATCAATAATAATGGTTGCTGATAAAAGTATGGAAACTTTTGTAGAACATCGTGAAGAACAAGTACGTCCGAAGTAGAGGTCGTTAAAAACTTCGCGATAACCCACGTTCCCGAGACAATAAAAATGGCATTATCGTCATTTAAAAATCGATTTCCACGACATGGATCATAACGCTCAGTGCATGTGAAATAAAGCTTTGAGTAATTATTGTTTTTAATAATTTCCTCGTTCGTTTTAAATACAATAATATGTATTGAATATCATTATATTCCAATAATTTTTAATGCGTGTGTGTTTAACGCGCGCGCGCACATATAAAAGATTATTATATTGCGCAATATGTTTTCATAGAGAATTATTCTCTCTGCAATGCATCGCGAACCTTTCATATACAGTAGAAAAAATGTTAATATAAAAATATATTATTTTTCAATATTAAATTACTTTCTTCTTTAACGGCCCCAACAATAATGAAGCCGCCAAATCTTCGTACTTGATTCAAATTTTTATGGAGACATGGAAATAAACTCACGTTCAATTTTAACTTCGCTGTGAAATCTTCGATCGAAGGTTACGACCGTCAAGCAGACCGTTCAGAAATTTGATTAACAAATTTTCTCAATAAAGCTCTGCATCGAGTGAAAATACCTGATTATAAAACTGGCTCGACAGCGAACGATGACAATAATGCTCAAATAAGTCTTCAACGAAAGAAATTTGGTAGAAACGTGACTTTGCAACTTCAACTGTTTTAAAGAGCCCGGTTTTACCAACGTCGCTTAACTTTAAAGCCTCGCTTAATTCGCTCCTTGTTGTCCCTTTCCAGCTGTTACTAAAGAAATTATGCATTACCATATACATCTTAGAATCATCCCAAATCCAAAGTTCCTATTTTGATGTGCGGCACATCATATTTCCCTGGCGCTGTGTTTCACGATTTTGCCTTCTATGATTCGTAACTCCGAACGAATACGTCATCACTGAAGGGCCTTGCGAGAGACGCAATTTAAAAGCAATTAAGCAATTTAGAAAATTGATACGGTTCTGAGTAATCGTGTTAATTTAATATGCCGGGATGAGCTCCGCCCGTCGACACGCGTACCGTCGACCGCGCGTACGCAACTCGCACGCAACCCGCAAACGCGCACCAGGTACCATTGCGTGTAGTAATGACGTTATCGCTACAAAAACTCAACAGTGTTCATCGCAGAAGAAACGTGTGTGTGTGCGTGTGTGTGTGCGTGCGTGTGCTGCGTGTGCGTGCGTGCGCGCGCGCGCGTGTGTGTGTATTTTCTTCTCATTAACAACTTCGAACTAACGCGATAGCTGAAGAGTTTTCTAAGAAATACACTTCAAAGACGTAAATAGATAAGAAAATATTATTTCCTCGCTATCTTTAGCCTTTAAAGAGTCATATCGCGGACGAACACTTCGAACCAGATATTAGATGTAAATTATATGCTCAGTATGTATACTTTCGTGACTAGCTAAAGAGAATTAATTTAGCTTTATGGCGGTTTTTACGTCCAAAAATTGGTCGAGGCAAGTAAGTTGCTTCAGCAATTTACATGTATCATATAGAATTCTATCGAACACGCTACAAGTGATAAGATAAACAAATATTTATCGATATGGCAAACGGCTTCACAGAATAACTTTTCCATTCATGGATAGGTTATATTGAGAGAGAGAGAGAGAGAGAGATTCTTGCATAATCTTACATCTTCACGTGATTGTATTTAAAGGTGACACACAAGATTCTTTTCATTCTTTATCTCTTTTATTATGTTCCGAAAACCGATACATCTGTAAAAATACAATGGGAATTATCGCGCACAAAATTACATAGCCGCATGTGCATAACATAAGACCGTCCAGACCAATGAGCACGTTACGTGAATCAATATGGCGACCCGATGCTCGATGCTCATTTGTTTGGACGATTCTTATGCTATCCCTTACAGAAATGCAGTAACTGGGAACGAAAAAAGCGCTGAACAATTACTAGAGTTCAGTAATTGAATTACTGTATTAGAAATTATTGATGTACAGTAATTTTCTAGTAATTATTTCGCTTACATTTCTATAAGGGATGCATATGTGGCTATGCAGTTTTCTGTGCAATTACAGCCCTTAGAAGATTAAATTGTCCGGGCAAACGCGCGTCGCGTAACATCCATAAAATCCACAGGCCTATGATTTAACTCAGCAAAAATTCTAATAAAAAAAAACTGTAATTAAAGGTAATAACCAAACTATCGTAAGTAAAGTAGTCATTTAATAAAATCTAAAAATATGTACAGTCTTCCCTTAAAATTATTAAAATAAAAATAATGAACTACCTTACGCGTCTTCTCCGAATAACGCCGAGTCGCTGGCGCCGCGAAGCAGGCGACGGGCCGCCTTCACGGAGTCGTCTCGACATTCGCTCCCGAACTCACCATGCGAGTCGGCGTCGACGTAACACCTCGTCAGAAAAACCGCACTTCGCACGGCCGTCCGTCCCACTCGCGAAAGGTGGGCCCCGATTGCGCGACTGCCCGCGCCGATTCGCTTCTGCGCCGATCTCGCGCCGATCGTCCCGCACGATCTTATCGGCGAACGCGATATTCGACGCTCCGCGTCGTTTCCATATCTCCGTTCCTACACCGCACGTCCCTACCAAGTGCCGTTTCTCCGCCGCGGATTTTCGATTTCCACCACTCGCTCTCCTCGAGATCGCTAACGCCGTCACTTCCGCGCCGTTGCGCCCCGCATCCGGTAGGGTTTATCCCGGGAAAAGTAGGGCGAGAGCGCTTTGCCCTCTCGGCTGCACACGCGCACCTCATTAACAATCTCGACGATCTTTCGGAGTTACATCAGCGCTCTGGTACGAGGGCACAGGCGCGCACGTCGCTTCGATTCTGTTTTCTCTCTGGCACTAGTAACCGAGTATGGATCGTTGTAGCGCGATGGTAATAAGCGACTAGTCTCCACCAAGATCTCGGCGAGAGAAAGAGAGAGAGAGAGAGAGTGAGAGAGTGAGAGAGAGTGAGAGAGAGAGACTCGTTTGCGATTCTGCGAACGATCCAGTCTCTCGCACGCACACGCGCACGCACGCACGCACCAACGTGGCCGAAACACAACCGCTCGTGCTCCGATCCGGAGTCAGTCGGATCACGCGTGTCGCTGTGTGTCGCCGACGACCTTCGACGCTACGTCGCGCGGCTCCAATATCGAGTGAACACTCGCGGGATCCTTATCTGCGGCCGCGACTTTTGTCGACGCGGCGCGGCACGGCGCGGCATCGCACCGTCGCAGTAGCGACGGCGGCAGCGACACGGTATCGCCTCGTCGGTTTCTTCCTCTTTTTTTCCCCCCCCTTTTCTTCTTCTCGCTTCGCACCCGTCAACGCCGACCGAGGAAACCGCTGATTCCTCTTCTGGGATTTCCGCGCCCGCACCGGCCACCGTATCTATTCTAATCGCCCCGCGTATTTCCCGGCGCGCGCGCGCCCGTCAATGTCGCCGCGCAACCTCTCGCGAGGAGGATTTGCGAAAAAAAAAAAACACGCACACGCGCGCGCTCGCCCCTTCTTCCGCGTGCCGCGCCTCCCGCGTGCGAGCGGCCGATCGTAGTCGCGCGACTCAGCGACGCCGTTTCTCGAAGACGCGAACGCCGGTCCAGTCCCGAGCGATACGCGCGCACGACTGCGACGGAGACTGCGGAGAAGCGGCTCGGGCGGACGCGTGCCGACGACCCGACGCAGCTCGACGCGTCGCGGCGACCCCGCGTCATCGCTCGCGCGCGAGCTGATCCTCCCCCAGTAGCGTAGCTACGTGCGATCGTAGTACAGCCGCGCGAGGTATTCGTACTTTCGGCGCGTACCGCGGCGGGCGGGCGCGCGCAGCCCCGTCACGGAATGCCGCATAGGGCTCCCGCGTGCTATTAGACGGCTGCATTATTATCAGAGCGTCGCATCGTATCGGCGATAAGCCGTTATCGTACGGACTATTTTTCTTTATCAAGGTCTTTGCCGTTGCGTAATTTTGAACTCGTCGAATGTAGTGGTGTACAGAGATGGGCAGAATGGCTGCGACACTTTTTTTACACTGTAAAAAAATTACATGTGAAATTGCAATTTCAGAAAATTCTCACGAAGTTCTTTAAATGCCACGTTGTCCCACGATCGCACGATTTTCAGGGTAAATTTTAAGAGAAAATTCTCTCCGTGTATAACAAACACTGTTAAATTTGTAATGTTAAATTTAACTCGATGAGTAGTTGCCAACGCTCCTACTCAATATGTGGTTAATTTAATTAAACAATGGAGTTAAAGAATCCATAGAATGGGTTAAATTAGAGATGTGGTTGTTTTTAAAACTTTGACAAAATACTGAGATAAATTATGGTGTTAGACCGAGTAAATCAGGATGTTAGAGAGTAAATAATAATAATAAAGTCAAGACAGCCGTGTTAATTGTTTCTAAAAGTTTTCAAACAGCACGTACGGCATAGAAATTCGAAACAAAGAAAGGAGTAAAATTGAAAGTTACAAGGAGAAAGGAGTAGAAATTCAATGCTTTAAGAATAAAGGAGAGGTGAAGTTGCACCCACCGAAAAAATTTCCCGATCCAATGCTATTACACTTGAATGTATCATAAAATAGGATCGATGTAGCGCCTATCATGTTTATTATAGAGAAAGGGATATTTTAATCTCAAATGTAAAATTGTAAAATCTAGAATAAAATGATAGTATCGTCCGTACGCTTTTGTCAGCAGAATTGACGAATTTTCGTTCGTCGCGCGCACCTACGCGAAACTACGGTCATGGATCGGATCTTCCATTGAAGCGCATGCGTTGTCGATGATGTCACCGTCATTCGTGTTGAGCTCTCCAGATACACTCGCTCGTGCCGTACGTGTATTCCATTGTATTTCTCACTGGCGCAAAACCCGCTAAACGTACATACACATATTCCCTCGAGGCATACTATGCATCGTAGTAACGTGCATTACTTTCAATGCATATTATGACTGTGCCTTATCTCCGGTTTCCGCCGGTTTCTGTCTTTATTTTTAGCTTTACACGGTGAATTTCTGCGTAGCTAACGAGTGTATATTTTCTCTTTATTTTAACGATTCCGCGCTGCCTGCGCATAACGTTCGTGAATTGTTTAGCAATAAAGAATCTGCGTTTTCCATAACAATGTTGCATGCAATTCTGTGCGAACGAATCGTTCGACAATTTTGCGTACTTGTAATATTAATTAAATATGGATATTAATTAATTGAACATATAATAAATGAATAAATTGGCATTAGAAGAGAGACGTCAATTTTGATTGCATTATAGAAATGACGGCAATATCTTTTGTAATTCGCTTTTGCGCTCGCAAACGTTCAAACTCGGAACAAAAAAAATCGCACATTGAATTAAAATGATTTTAAACGAAGATTTTAACTATAAATATAATAAATATTCTTAACACTACGCAATGTATGAATCGTAGTATACACGTTAACACCGCCGAAAAATATTAATGATTACGACATTCGTCACGGAAAGTTTTGCGATACTAAAGTTATAAATTCTAACATATGAACGGCTCGTTTTTCGACATCAATGTATTTTCACAAAAACACGTACCTATATGTATATAAGCGTAGATTACAGATAATTTATATATTTACACAGCTGTTGTAAGAAAAATCAAAAGACACGATCTCGTATTACGCGATAACGTTTATACAGGTACGGTAGGAAAAGCTAATACACACAATGATAATCAAGAAGCGCTTACTCGTCGGTCTTACAGTACAAATGCTGAAGTATCAAACAATCGAAAACCAAGTCACGCAATAATATCGCAAGAGATTTATCTTCCGAATTTTCAAAGCGAGATGGGTACGCCACGCGTCGAGGAAACAACGCAATTGATTGTAAACCGATTAATAAACGAGTGAGGTGCGAGGGTGACGACGACTGTGTAACTTCAATGAAATTTCGCGGACCATTTACGTCATTGCCATCCATTAGCTTCATTCAGTCGTTTCGCACTACGAAACGGTAGGTGTCGGGAAGTTTGGTTTTGTTTCACGCGGGCAGAGAGTCAGTTTTATCCGCTTACCAGATTGGTGAACGATAACGCGTATCTCTCGGGTGCACTCGTTCATTAGGTGCGTTGACCAACATTTTGCTCGAGAGTTGGCATCGGACGCGGTACGTTTGCTCTACAACAAATATAAAGAAGAGCCCGGTAAACGATGAAACGGAGGATTCTCTGACTCACCGAGACGGTTTATTTCTGCCCACGTTGTTCACCTACAGTCGTGCTATAACTTGTCGTCTAGTTAAATTCACTCTCATCGCTAATTTTATTTACGTTGTCTTTCGTTAACTGGTTGAACCTACCTACGCCAGTCTATCGTATGTTCGCAAAATTTGTCTCGATCGTGTCACAAAGCGCATCTCTCTCTCTCTCTCTCTCTCTCTCTCTCTCTCTCTCTCTCTCTCTCTCTCTCTTGCTTTCCCCTTTCATCTCGTGCTTCCTTTGTTTTTCTCGCACTGGCAAATGGCATCATCGCGGAACCACTTCCGAGGAAGGCCGACTGGTCCGATTTGCGCTCGGAGATCGAGCCGGTTACGATGTCCGCAAGCTAAATTAGTCACGTTTTTCTCGCCTGGCTAGCCGGCGATTGTTATCAATGGTAAATAAATGCAAACAGATAGCGCACTTAGAGGAATCGCTAATGTCATAGACTGCAATGACAGATGAATAGTAATTTATTCGGAATAACATTTACAACATAACGATACGTATCGATAAATATGTTAATTATTGAATAAGTTATATGTGCAGAATAATTATTGTATAGAATCACCGGTGAACTATAAGTTAATGTTAAAAATATAAATGGATAAAAAGTAATACAATCTTTTGGACAGAGAAATATTACAGATACGATTATTTTAAAATCTTTTAATATTGATCTGAAACTCTCATTGCGTGTGTGAACATTATTAAGATCTATTTAATGGCTATTTTTTAAATAATTGTTATTCATGTATCGTAATAACTAATCATTTTTCTATAAAGTTTAGCGATTGAGACTACATACTTTTGTAAACTTCAAGAAGATCGATGAATGTCAGAGTTACACTTCCTAATTAGCTCCAATTAGTTTTTACTGGATTTTACTTTAACAAAATTCTAGTCTCAGGTTTAACAAACAAAAATATAGGAACGTTGTAAAAACCGATTTCTTTTATTTTCTTGTTCTAAGACCGAAGTAAATGTTCAAATCAAATCAACGAAGCATAATTAAAAAGATACTTGGT